CAAGCCCGAGAAATGAATTTTTTTAAAGGAAATTATTTTCTGAAATTGTTTAAGGAAATTTGAAATGAAATTTGATTAGAACATGTTAGAATCGGGCCCGTATTTTTGGTTCCGGCGCCCGGTACGAGTCTTATATATGATTTAAGATGTTTCTATGAAATTTGGTGAAAAACGGATATCATTTGACGTGATTCGGACCTAAAATGCTAGAGTTGATGTTTTATGACGTTTAGGAAAAATCCTTTGGTTTTGAGGTTTAATTCGTTGTTATTGAGGTTATTTTGGCGATTTGATCGCGCGGATAAGTTCGTGTGATTTTGTTGAGTTAGTACCTATGTTTGGTTAGGGGCCCCGAGGGCTCGGGTGTGTTTCAGATGTGTTTCGGGAGGTTTTTGACTTAAGAAAAGTTGCAGGTTTTTGCTGTTCAGTGCCCAGGGATTTTACCCTTCGCGTTTGCGTGGCCCCTATCGCGAACGCGTAAGGCAAAGATCCTAGATGCACAATTTCTTCTTCGCGAACGCGAAGGTTGAGACGCGAACGCGAAGCTGTGGGGGGAGACCCTTCACGAACGCGTCCTTCCACTCCCGAACGCGTAAGGTTCTGGGGAGGGGTCACCAATTTGTTCATCGCGAACGCGGTCCATAGCACGCGAACGCGAGGCTCGAGGAGTTCCTACTCCGCGAACGCGAAGCCTTAACCAGCCTGACCCATCACAAACGCGAAGGGTCTGTCGCGATCGCGAAGGGCATTTTCGCCCAGTGATTTTTAAAAGCCAAAAACAGAACCCATTACGGGATTTTATAAAAATTTCACAAACCCCTTCTCCTCCAAAGCTCTTAGGCGATTTTTGAAGCAATTCTTCACCATTATCTCTTGGGTAAGTAATCTTTAACTCATTTTCTTCATTTTTCATTAATACCCTTTAGATTTCTAGGCCTAAATCATGTGAATAAGGGTAGAACTAGGGCTTTTTGATTAATTGTGATTTAGAACTCGTTTTGGGGTCGAATTCTGAAAATAATTATATATCTGGGCTCGTGGGTGAATGGGTGATTTGATTTTGGTCCGAACCTCGTGTTTTGACCAAGCGAGCCCGGGGTCGATTTTTGGGTTTTTGGAAGAATGATTAGAAAACTATAATTAAGCATTGGAATTGGATTATTTATCATTTATTGATGTTATTAAGTCGATTATGTATAGATTCGATTGGGTTGGAGCCGAATTTGAAAGGAAAAGCGGTGATTGAGGCTTGTGTTGGTCGTGGAAACTCGAGATAAGTGTTTGGTCTAACCTTAGATTGAGAGATTAGGAGTTGAGTCCTATTTGCTATGTGGTATTCGTTGTGTACGACGTATAGGCATGGTGACGAGTATCTATACGTTGGTGTCTAGCATGACCGTGGGTCTTTATATTGTGAATATCTTGATTTCGTTATATTCTTCATGCCTTGGTGATGATTTCTAGTTGTTGTGAAAAGTTTGTGGAAGAAATGGTGACCTTTGAACATCTTGAAGTATTGGCTCGAGTTCTATTATGAATTGTGAAAGTATATAAGATGATTGAACCCTTTGGAGCATTGGCTCAAGTGGTAAAGTTATGAAGTAGAAGTGAAAGATAGAGAAGGAATTATTGAAATGTTCCCTTGCCGGGATTTAATTATTTTATTATTGTTCCCTTGCCGGGATTTAATTGTTTAATTGTTGTTCCCTTGCCGGGATTTCTATATGATCTTGTTTATTCCCTTGCCCTTGTTTGTGATTGTTGTTTGGGTGAGAAAGAGTGTTAAAGCACGAAGGGTGATGCCGTGCATTGTTGATATTGTAAGGAAAGAGTGTAAAGCACGAAGGGCGATGCCGTGCCGCATGATGTACCATTCCGTGCCGATTGTATTGATTATACGATGAGGAAAGAGGGTAAAAGCACGAAGGGTGATGTCGTGCACATCTTTGATAATTAATTGTTTTGGTGAGAACGAGAGTAAGGCACGAAGGGTGATGCCGTGCAAACTGTAGATTTCTGTTCCTTGTTGATATTCGAGTTATGTTGTTCCTTTCTTTACTTGATGCCTTTCTATTCAGAACTGTTATCTCCCCCACAGCATATTTCCCCTTCCCACATTGACTGGTTATTTCTGTATTTCTTTTTCCGCTGCATATATTCACACTGCACAGGTTTATTTGGTAGTATGGTCCTAGCCTCGTCACTACTTCGCCGAGGTTAGGCTAGGCACTTACCAGCACACGGGGTTGGTTGTGCTGATACTACACTCTGCACTGTGTGCAGATCCCGGAGCAGCTTACGGACAATAGTTGGAGGGCTTCCTTCAGTCCACCCGGAGACCCAAGGTAGACCTGCAGGCGTCCGCAGGATCTGGCGTCTCCCTCTATCTCTATTTCCTGTTTCCTTCTCTTTTATTCAGAAACAGTGTACTGTTATTTTTCAGACCTTGTATGTAGTACTCTTAGATAGTCTGTGACACTGTGACACCAGATTTTGGGTATTTGAGGTTTTAGAAGTGGTAATAGACGTTGATTCCAGATATTTTATTGTTACCTTCCGCTTAATTTTTTAAAGTTCTGCTGATTTCATGTTATCGCTTATATTGTTAAAATGAAGTAATTTGTTAACGAAGTAAGTAGTTAAGTTTGTGCTTGCCTAGCTCCCAATAGTAGGCGTCATCACGACTCCCGAGGGAGGGAAATTCGGGTCGTGATAGGTTTGGAGCTTTTGGGGTGATTTTTGAAGAGGGATTCAAGGGATTATCAGTGAGGTAAGTTGCTTGAGCCCTAATACTCGTATAGGTGGTGATTTCCCATTGTTTAATCATGTAATTAGTGAAGATTAGGGATGAAAATGAGAGGTTAGGGCTTAAGATTTTGGAGAGTTTGATTTGAGAATTTGAGGGGTCAATATGGAGTCGGATTTCGATAAATTTTGTATGTGTGGACTCGTGAGTGATAGGGCTTTCTAGTTTTATGACTTTTGTTGGATTCTGAGACGTGGTCCCGGGGGGCGGGTTTGCGTGGATTTCGGGGTTTGTGTCTAATTTGATAGTTTTTCTTGTGGAATTCATTCTATTAGCGCATATTGATGGTATTGTTCTGGTTGTGAATAGATTCGGAGCGATTGGAGGTCGAGTCGAGGGGCAAGAGCATCGCGGAGTAGAGATTGGACCGATTTGAGGTAAATAACAATTGTAAATTCAGTCCTGAGGGTATGAAACCACGGATTTCATATCGTTTTACTATTTTTGAGGTGACGCACATGCTAGGTGACGGGCGTGTGGGCATGCACCATTGGGGGTTGTGACTTGGTCCGTCCAGTAGTAACTATAAAGTTGCGTATTTGGTTAAAACTATATGATTCTTATGTGTTTTAGAAAGAGTTTCTGTAAATTGGGTTGAATGCCATGTTTAGGCCTTGTGCCAGAGCTGTTTGGACCCTAAGGGGCCTTTTTCTTACTATATACTCTCTGTTTTTGACTGAAAATCTATACTTAGTCATGTTATACTTATTTTTTTCATAACTCGGTCTTTATTACTCTGTTTTGATACATATAAATGTTGTTTTGGGCTGAGTACCCTGTTTTTACTGAGAGCCTGAGTGGCTTGAGTGGTTTATGACTGAGTGAGGCCGAGGGCCTAATTTGTGAGGATATTTATGGGATCGGGCTGCACGCCGTAGCATGTTTTACTGATTCATGATTGAGTGAGGCCGAGGGCCAGATTAATTTATGCCACGAGTTGGCTTGTTATAGCGTCCTTGGGCTGAAAGAGCCCCTCCACAGTCTGCACACCCCAGTGGGTGCAGGTACCTACTGAGTGCGAGTGCCCGAGGGGCTGTATATGAGTGATGGTGAGGTGCGATAGGCTGTATACGAGTGACTATGAGATTTGCCCGAGGGGCTGTATATGAGTGATATTTTGCCCGAGGGGTTGTTTATGATTTCATCATTCTTGCTTATTGTTGCATTGAGCCTCTGTTTGAGAACTGTTGAAAAACATCTTCAAATGATTTTACTGGAACTGAGTTTAAACGAAATGATTTGATTCAAACTCTGCTTCCTAAAAGCCTGTTGTATTTTTACAGAGATTTCATGATATGAACTTTATATGCTTTATTGCTCGTCACTATTTCTCAGCCTTTATTTACTTTGGTTACTTACTGAGCTGGCGTACTCACGTTACTCCCTGCACCTTGTGTGTAGATCAAGGCATTTCTAGACGCGGTAGAAAGTGTTGACTGTTCAGTTGCAGATCCATCAGAGTTAGCAAAGTAGCTGCCTGGCGATCGCGGCTCTGCTTTCCTCACTCTTTATCTTCCTTTAGTTGTATTCAGTTATTTCCATACTATTTTAGTCTTGATATTGTCAGACAGTTTTAGTAGATGCTCATGACTAGTGACACCCCTATGTCGGGCTTTCTTTTCTGCACTTTTGTTTTGATTTGAACTCCTTATGAAGGTTTTATATTAAATAGCTTTGAAACTATCTTTGAAATAAAAAATATGGGTTTGTTTTGGTAATGTGTCGGCTTGCCTAGTACCACGATAGACTTAGTTTTGGGTCGTGACAGTTGTTTCCTTCTTTCAATTATCTTTTAGCTAGGTTTGTCTGATTTTGATTTAGTCTTTTATTATAGACTACAGGCTTTGTATTAATTTATTTAAAAAAATAGGAAACTTAGTATATATTAAGTGTTTGATTCTTCTTTACTCGCCAAATCTGATGCTTTATGTTTACTTATTGAAAATTAGAGTTCCAAAAATAAAGATTGCAGTTCACTGTAATGGTTGTTGGCTCTTGAAACCCACTACAGTATATTCTTTGGGTTTCTAAAAATTTCGAATTCCACTTAGATTATGTCATGACCCAAATCAGAGGGCTACGACTGGCACTCGGTGCCTACTCAATCGAGCGCCATGTATCTTGTCCCTTTTTTTTATAGGACTCATCACGGGCCATGATAGGCCACATCTATATATATAATTAACAATATTAGAAATTAACTCACATAAATAATTCAAAAAGATTTAAATAGATACATAGGGGCCGACAAGGCCGTTGACATGTCATACCTAAAGCTATACACAGGACACTGTCTGCAAAACCTCTAAGAAAACATGACCATAACATATAAGTTGGGACAGCTTCCCTGACATCCTCATAAAATAAAGTAACATATATAGAACGTGACTCGACAATACTCCAGGAAGATGTGGAGCTCACCAACCAAAAGCTGATATCTGAAGGCAGGCTACAGTGGATGGTCCTCACCTTGCCTATCTACACCTGGGTGGCATGAAACACAGCGCCCCAGAAAAAGGGACATCAGTACGAAGAATGTACCGAGTATGTAAGACAGCAATAAAACGTAATAATAATAAGATACTATCTCGGGAAAAGATAAAAGTCAACTTATAACTTCTGACTTGCCGCTGAGGGCCGTAACATATAGAATAAGACTCATCTCGTATATATAAATAAAACTACAATATAATAGTTCTAGTTACCTCATTTTCGTGAGGTTAACTGCCCAACTGATCATTGGTAACTACCCGACCGACCGTAGCTCGATAGTAAATGCATAACTGCCCAACGCGTGGTAAATAATAATACATAACTGCCCAACCGGTGGTAACTGCCTGACCGACAGTAGCTCGGTGGTAAATGTATAACAGCCCAACCGGCCGTAACTCGGTGGTAACTCGATGGTAAATGCGTAACTGCCCTATCTAAATTACAAGTATCCTTGCTTTGCACCGAAAACATTTGTCATGTAAAATTTAATGTTTGTACATTTCTTATTGCTGCATAATAGCTAAAGCACGCAGATAATGCATACCTGCCATATATTCTCACTTATTACTATCCAGTATCATTTATATAAATGCTCTTTCATTCTGTTTGTTAGCAAAATCTAACAAAAAATCATAAAGTTCATATGCAAAAAAAGAGTCATCACGAGTTGCGTGGAATTGAAACAATTCCAAAACCCCAACTATCAACAACAAGAACCATAAAGGTTTTTGAGCGGAACCTTTCAGAATCATCACAAATAAGATATCTTTGACTGTTAATAGTAGAAATACTTATTAAATAGCATTACGTTTACGTATCGTTACTTGGATCATGCCAAAATGAAGGAATGGCTTACCCTTAACATACCTGGAGTAGGGAAAAATCCGTATGGTGTTCTTGAAAAAGATTGCATATTACTCCTTTAGAATCGCAAAATTTTACGTTGCTACAGTTCTAAAAAATTTCGTTGGACTGTTGAAGATTTACGTTGCTACAGGCCTTAACCACGTTACTAAATGTATGAAATCTGATTTGGAATTTTTTTTGTTTTTTGAGAATGGAAAGTTGAAGTGTTATTAGAATGGCTCACGTTCTGAAGAAATGAAATCATAAAGTTGAAGAGTAATTGGAAATTTTTGGAAATGAAAAGAATATGTAACTTTATGACACCTAATCAAGGAATCACTCTTAGTCATTTCTTTATAAGGTGGCTAGCTGCCACGTTTTGGGGGAGGGGGGATTTTTGATCTTTATTTAATATTTAATTAATTAGTTAATATCCCGCTATCCGGTAATTAATCAATTACCCGCATAATTAAGAATTGTCTTTAAATTACTTAAATTTTACTCATTTTTAATATACTTTATACATCATACTATCACGGTCATATGGTACCTTGTACGGTACTAGTTCACAAATATTGAGTATTATAGCTCGGACCGTATCTTATCCTAAATCAATAACCTTCTACAAAACTCATTTTCTTTAATTCGTGTGCCATTTATCCTTCATGGCACTTACTTATTGCTTGTTATAAATAGCATAAACATGCTAACCTCAAGATAATCTCATTCCCGAGTCTCTGTCAATTAACTGATGACGAAACTTTAACGTATGAAATGCGGGATGTAACAGATTAGTTGATTATTTATGGAGGAGATCGACGGGGTATTGTCATTTCGAGATTAAAGTCGTGAATCAAACACTGATTTCATGGATTTGAGTAAAAAAATACTTGAACTATATTTTTTTGGTCGTCGAAATTCAAAGCTGGAAAAAGACTTAAGATCCTGAAATTTCTTGCTTCTTTTATACTGAAATCTAGTGGAGAAAACAAATTTTGGATCTTAAAAAGGAAAGAATAATACTGGTGTCCAAAAATTTGAAAAAAAAAATAGAAATCACCATTGAAGCAGCTGTGAGAGAGATCGAAAACATAAGATGGGTATTCTGATTTGCTGAAGTTTGAGCTAAGTGTTTTGAAGTTTGTTGGGAATATTCATGTGGAAAAGTTGTGGAAGATCTAAGTCTGTTTGGTTAAAAATTTTGTTTGGATCGAAATATTTCAAGCAAAGATGAAGAAGGATTGAGGAAGAAGAAGAAGCAACCTTTTTTGGGATTTTTTTAATTTGCTGATTTAGTACATAAGTGTAATAAATAAAATATATTTTAAATAGTGACATAGACTCTTACGTGGCACTTTGATAAATGTAATAACTAAGATATTATTAAAAATGGTGATATGGATTCCACCTTGGCATTTTATTTGGTGGGACCTGCTGACTTGGCAGCTGACATGGAGAAAATTGAGGGGGTCAGCTGCCACGATGTAGATCCGTAAGGGTTAGGGGGTATTACGCAAACTTTGTTAACGGTAGGGATAGATTTGGACGAAAAGTATAACGGGTGGCAGAAGTAAACAATATACCATAGTAGAGGGGCAATTTTAGACCTTTTCCCTATTAAATAAGAGCTTGGTTTGGGAATTTTGTCTCCCAGATTTTAGTTATATATATAGGAATTTGAACTCATTGTAAATACGAAATGCTCTTATTGTAATATTCTTTCTGATCTATACTTTGTTCTTGTGCTTTCTTGCTTCCGGAAAAGCTCACTACACAATCAGGCTTGTGTTTAAGATTATTTAATTTATTCATTTATGTTCTTTGTTACTTTATATTTTTGGATAAAATTAATTTATGTGTATATAAAGAACGTTACAAATTCAACCGTACCATTTTACGGATAAATAATAAAATCTCTCGATTGGCACAATCAGGCTTGTGTTTTCTTCAAGATTATTTAATTTTTTCATTTATGTTCTTTGTTACTTTATATTTTTGGATAAAATTAATTTATGTGTATATAAAGAACGTTACAAATTCAACCGTACCATTTTACGGATAAATAATGAAATCTCTCGATTGGTATTCTTAAATATGAAATTTAACAAAAGAAGGTTGGAGTTGTTTTACGTTGTTTCGCAAATGTTTGGACAATATCCGAGTTGAAGTTAATAAAAGAATTTTAAAGTTGAAATCGAGAAAAAGTTTATGGCAATTGAAGTTGTATTTAAACATGAACTTTACTTAAGAAGAATTTCGCAAATGTTATAATATGTTAATGAAAAGTGAAAACTACTTCCTCCGGTCCAAAATAAGTGATTTTTTGAATGTTCTCACACAGATTAAGAAATTCACCTTTTAGCATTAATTAGCAATGGAATTGACCATATTAACCTTTACTATCTCACATAAACACTCTTAGAGGTCGTTTGGTAGCTGGTTAGAAAAAAGGTTATTCATGTATAAGGGGTAACATAACTTATACCATGTTTGGTAGGCAATAGTTATTTTTTATAAAATTCTGCATAACTAATACCATGTTTGATTGACATTTTTCAATTATGCATAAATAATACATGTATAAGTTATGAGTCAATATGTGTATTATTTTATGCGGGGTAGAAGATGGAATAACTAATACATGTATTAGTAATACATGGATAAAATACTGAAATGACAAATTTACCCCTATCACTTTACACATAAGGCTTCCTTATTTCTCTGCCAACCCGTCAACAGGTTTCACTTGCTTTCACTTTCCAACTATATACCTTGTCTTCTCTCATTTTTAAAGAACAAACTAGCAAAAGCAAACTGGAGAAGCCACTAGAAAATGAAAATACCAAAACTAAGAAGTGAAAATCAAATATGTCTAAACTTCACATAGTTCAGTAGTATGACGAAGAAGTGAAAGTAACACCCAAAGTTCCTAACTAAATACTTTC